CCATCTTCCGCTTGAATTTGCTTCGACATTCCAATCTTCATTTCGCTCTTTTATCCAAATGGGCAACCAAAACCGGCGCACGAAAGTGCATGGTTAATGGTTGTAAAAACTGAAACTGAACTGGTATCTCTGGTCTTCCGGGTTGGGGTCCAAAAGTCTCCGAAACCGCATGGTTGGAGACACTGAAGGTCATGGCTGCGAACTGACGGCAATGGCGATCATGCTGTTACTTCTTATCAGTCCACAATCCTTGAAATTGTATGTATGCACAGTTGGGCTGTGTACTCAGTGTGAGGTTCGCTTTCTTTTCCCGCCCCTAAAAATAGGCCCAATCCCTGCCTCCTTACACATTCTCACTTATCTTGTATGCATTGTGAGTTTGGCAGCGATCAGCGCAGTTCGCTTCACTGTATTACGCTGTATAATGATGATGAGTGATCTAATGGCTTCTTCAGGAGCAAATATGTGACCTCTGGGCAAGCAGTTGCGTTTTCAGTGACGTTTCTTATTGGGTGCGGTAGCCATTTAAGTGCTGAGGTGCTTACGCATAACGTTACCATCGTTGAATGAGGAGTTATGAGTGTCTTTTAACGCTACTTTGGCGATCTGTTTTCAGTCTTCATATATCCCCAGACGTCCTCCGTAAGTATTATAGAGCCTGCATAGTTTTGTTTGAGAGTTTTGAGCCCAGTGCTCGCAGATGCTACATTCTATACCTGATACAACAAGTCTCCCACATGACAAGCCTCAATATGGTTGGGGGTCGGTGTCCAGGGTTGCGGCTGGTCACCCTATCCTTGCACCTCGCGAAATGCTCCCATGCGACCAAGTGTCTCGAATAGCCTCTGCTGAGGAAGCCCTACTCACTGCCTTCTCGTGGCGGAGGTGTTTTCCCACCAAAGTGAGAGGACGAAAAGCCGACATCCGGAGCTATAACCGGGTTGGTGGACCACTGGTGTTTCACCTAAGGGAGTTGTCTAAAAACCCTGATTCCAAACCAACCACGAGGAGGCGTACGAACCAAACCCACACATTTCGGTTGTGGCAGTGGGCACCGGCTTGATTGGGCACCTTGGACGTTTGACCCCGTCCGAAGGGCGAATGATCCGATGAACTGGATACCGGCTCTCAATGGACTGCGGTTTTCGCACACCACCCCGCTGCCTTGTGGGTCAGGCTTTGTCTAGCCAAAGGATCCGGTTGTGGATTCCCTAAGAAAATTCACCTGCCTTGATCTGGGCAACCTGGCAGTATTCAGCCCACATATAAATCATGGAACGCTTTTCTTTTTTATAAAGATCATTTTATCATGATTTGTTTGGCACACAGTCTATCCTCAGACAAATGTGAAGGATATATATATGTATATACCACATGATAATTTAAGGCGTGGGAATGAGACATGGCATGTTAATACTGGAATACTGAAATACGTGAACGCAAAATTATTTACTATGGGTTAGCCAGACAATCTGTAAAAGATCACACGCTCAAGACAAGTAAAGACGCTAAGTCCTAAACGGGTTGGGTCGCGCGTAATTGAGCAGACCAAGAAGAGGGTTTATTTGAATGGGATGGAAATGTTTGTGTTGAATGTGTCCAACTAGTGGGGAATTAACGTTCTCCCAAGGAGTGAACCCTACACCCGAGACCATCAAGAGTGTCTGGTACCCCTGGATAATCGACAGGACCAATCCAAGCATGATACTCTCAGAAGGATTTATTTCAACGTGTTAATTCACAATAACCGGGTCTAAAATGAACAAAATAGAAACTTCATCTTCTAAATGTGCTTGCTTCGACGCATAACTCTCCCAGCCGAGAGGAACGTCGGCATCTGTTAAATACCTTGGTGTCACCCTTACCCATAACCTGTCGTGGTCTGCTCATATCATGAACGTTTTCACAAAAGTTCAAAAACTGTCCTATGCTCACAGGTTCAGGAAACTAGCCGTACCACATAATTTTATTCTTAAGTTTGTTATTGCCTGAATCCTTCCACGCGGGCTATACTGCCTCCCGATTTTTATCCCTGGACTGAAAGAAAAAGACTATTTCATTTTCGGGATCCCTTAAACTTTCGTCCAGTTACATTGAAGTGGATAGAGTTGTTTTAGTTGATTTCTTTATTTCCAAGCATCTTGACGCTTGTGAGACTTTCATTGACAGAATAACGCGTGGTCAAGGGCACTGTTTGCACCAAGATATCGCGAAAGCCCTGTCAAATCCCCGAACACGCTCCAAATATCAACTTCCACATATCGAAACAGTATAATTCCATATCTGGCTCGGTTACTATTAAATCGTAAAAATTCTCACCCAACTCAGGGAAATCTCTTGCACTAATTTTTCTCTCATTTGTTAAAGTGTAGACTTTCTTATATTGTCTTTTTTGTTTGCACTCCGTTTTATTTATCCACTGTAAAAAATCGTTAACTGCTGAAAATTCACCCTTTGGGTGCATAAAGCTTTTATTGACTTGACTTGAAAAGAAACCCGCGAAGCGACAAACCGCGGTGGAAACCTAGAATCCGCAAGGCTCTGGAAAAAAAGGAAGGCTTGGAATATGTATGCTAGACTCAGAAGCTTTGACTCATACAGGGAATATGAAAGATATAAACCAAGCGATCACAATTTCTAGAAAGGCCATGCATGTGTATGAATTATGTGTAGCCAGAAATGTCAGGACGCTTGCAAGTTTCTGGGATAGGAGATATGAAGTGCTTGCATCTATACGGAATGGAATGCACGGTTGTTTTGATGGCATTTTTTTCTTGTGTTTGTTGTTGCGTTGGCACCAAGCTTACTCCCGATTCAATGATAGATTTGAATATATATGTATTTAAATGTTCACCGTGATTACCGATTATAATATGTGGTCAGATTGAAGGAAGATGGTTGACACCCTATAACCCGGGAAATTGTCAAATTGTTACTTTTTGGAGTTGTACGCTATGAGGCGCAACGCTTACACAAGACAATCTTTCTTTTCAGCGATGAATTCAGAGCAAGCCACCTGCCAATATTGTCTAAAAACCATCGATGGAACTTATATTAAATGCATGGACTGCTCGGTTATCTCATTATGTCTCACAGTAAGTGCACCAGGTTTTATTCATTATTTTGTTCAGTGTTTCTGCTTGGGCGTAGAGGCAGGTAATCACAAGAAAACTCATGGCTATCAGATCAAAGTAAGGTTGCATTTGTTGTTGTTTCCACACATCAGACTACATCCAAAAGTCCTTCAGTCCCGGTATTCGGAGATTGGAATGCTCAAGAAGAACTTCAGCTGTTAGAGGCATTAGAGCAGTATGGTGTAGGAAATTGGTAATTTCGCATACATTAATGCAACGTGTTTTCCAGGGAGGATGTAGCATTTAAAGTTGAAACCAAAACTCCGCAAGAATGCAAACGTCACTACTCTGACTATTACCTTTCCGGTCTTTGCAATCTTGCCTTCACCTCAGATCGTTCCGTTTCACGTGTAAATGATCACACCTGTCATTCCAGTCAACCCTCGCCCACCTATCCGCATTCACCAATGGTGCATGTGGAGGTTGAAGATCAACAACTCTTAGGTTATATGCCAGCTCGAGGCGATTTCGAAAGGGTTAGTCATATTGCTCCTGCTATCAATCTTCACCCAAATAGGATTATGACAACGACGCAGAAAGTATTCTTTGTCGTTTACACCCTAGTTTTTCACATGACGACTTGGAAGATGGTGAGTTATCGTTCACGTATATTGTGTTGCACTGTATGTTAATTACTTTCACTTTATCTGAAATAATGAACAAAATTGAACCCAGTCACGTTAACATCGTTCCCCTCTCAGCGCTAGTGATAACAAAATCAACACAATTCATGGAATCGTAGATCTCAGTTTCTATTTGACAAAGCTTGCAGCTTTTTTATTACACACGAAATGATTCACAGCAGAGGGAATAAACTTCATTGTCAATGACGTACTGCAAGGTGGAAGGTACGTGAAGGAACATTCAAGTGAGAGTCAATTTGTTAATCCTGCTTGGAAACATAGATGGGAGGTATTCCATAATTTCGCAGTCCTAGATAAAAACGAAGATTAAAAGATAAAAGTTCGACATCAAGGGGACAGAAACCTGATAAGAGGGACCACCAGCCTGAGAACGAAATGAAAGAGAAAAGGTCAATGAGAGGGAAACTGATGAAGCCGTATGGCCTTCAGTGAACACGGTCGAGGAGGGGAACAGCGGAATACGGAGCTCCACCCCCATACGTGACTGCTGTGTTCGAGCATCGGGCGGATCTAAGCTTTGTATGAAAGGAGGTGCTTGTGTGTAAGGAAACGCTTTGCACGAAATAGAAAACTGACTTTGTGCAGGGCCAGAGTTAAGTGTGGAAATAAAAGTAGACCAACAGGGAGAAGAATTTATGGATAAATCCAGGAGGGGAGAAAATTTGTGGAACGAAAGAGCAGCGAGTCGAAAATCAATCAAGAATATCAAGAACACGGAGAGGAGATAAGTTTTGGAAGCATTGAAGCACATGGTTAGTAGAATCCTATGCGGCGATAAGCCAGAGATCGAAAGCAAGAGGAACACTAATGATATTACTATCGTGGTCGATAGTGGTTGTGGCCTGATGGGTTTTAAGGTAAGGAGAACAGTGGAGAGTGGCATCATCGGTAAAGCAGTTAGGCTATATGCTTTGGACAAAAGCTTCTTGATGAATAAAAGAAAGAAGGTGGATGAAAGTATGGAACCTTCGGGGAACATCGGTATTTACTGGAAATGGCCGAGATAGGACCTCGTCCACTCGGACGGAGATGGTTCGCTTGCTGAGGAAACATTGGAATAGAGCTGGTAACCTAAAGTACCGTGAAGTCGGACTTTGGTTGAACTCTGCCATTCCAGGCATGATTAGATCTTGGCAAAAACCATTCCATGTGCCTCGCTGGGTAACAGATCCGAAAGCCATCACATGATGTCAAAGTGTCATCCTCTGGGTGTCCAGAGTTGCCATTTGAAATGTACGAGGTGGAAATAATGCCAGAGTAATGTGGATGAAATAAGCGTTAGCTTTTCATTGTAAGTAGTAAAGACCACATGTTTACTTATTCCTAAGTGAACGTTTTCACTGTTTGTTCATTGTGTATATGGACGGGAGCTGCCGCCGTATATAGGTTTTCTGGGGAAATGCAGAAATGCGGGAGATAGGTGGCAGTAACGCAGTTCAAACACCAGACCTCCAGGTCGCCATTTTGATGACCGTAACCAATTGACCATCACCACCACCCTATCATGCATTCGGTCTAATTATAATTTTTCACCCTGTTTTTGTATTTTTTATTTTCACACACGTCTGATTCCAGACTGTATGCCAAACAAATCATGATAAAATGATCTTTATAAAAAAGAAAAGCGTTCCATGATTTATGTGTGGGCTGAATACTGCCAGGTTGCCCAGATCAAGGCAGGTGAATTTTCTTAGGGAATCCACAACCGGATCCTTTGGCTAGACAAAGCCTGACCCACAAGGCAGCGGGGTGGTGTGCGAAAACCGCAGTCCATTGAGAGCCGGTATCCAGTTCATCGGATCATTCGCCCTTCGGACGGGGTCAAACGTCCAAGGTGCCCAATCAAGCCGGTGCCCACTGCCACAACCGAAATGTGTGGGTTTGGTTCGTACGCCTCCTCGTGGTTGGTTTGGAATCAGGGTTTTTAGACAACTCCCTTAGGTGAAACACCAGTGGTCCACCAACCCGGTTATAGCTCCGGATGTCGGCTTTTCGTCCTCTCACTTTGGTGGGAAAACACCTCCGCCACGAGAAGGCAGTGAGTAGGGCTTCCTCAGCAGAGGCTATTCGAGACACTTGGTCGCATGGGAGCATTTCGCGAGGTGCAAGGATAGGGTGACCAGCCGCAACCCTGGACACCGACCCCCGACCATATTGAGGCTTTTTGGCACACTAATAATCCATAAATGATGAACGCAGCTATTCGGTGTTCTAGGTACACCTTTATCAGTTATGTTGTTTTCTTTCTATGGCATATGCTTTACTCGAACCTATTTTAAAACTCATCGATCAGAATTCCAATTACTTTTTAAGAGCCAATGTCACTGTTTTGAATAATCCTCGATTGCTACGGGAAAAATTATTTCTCCCCATCTCCAATCTCTACTTTTTTTTAGCTCTCAAGGTTGCACAGGTTGGTATTTATATGCAACGTCTCAGAGAACGACAACGTCGCAAAGAGATAGCAAGGGAGCATGGATTGATTGCTGAAATTTTGGCGTTCATACTCAATAAGCGCCTAAAGAGACGAGTTCCTCTTGCGAAAGAGATGATTCCTGTTCGAAAACGTGGTCGTCCTCCTTCACCTCGGCGAGCCATTCGTGAAAAAACTTCTCACGGTGGTACTGCTTCTAGAAATGCATCTAGCAAACGTGTGATTTCGGACACTGCTAATTCTTCATTTGAGTTTCGTTCGTCCTCCCCTCCACCTGGTAGTTGGCTCGCGGCTCCTTTCGTGTTGAAGTCTTCGGGTGCTACCCGTGGGACACCTTTGATTGCTAGTGGACGCCCTTTGGAAATACCCTCTCTATCGTCATTGTCTCATCCTCCTCTCTGTAAAACGCATCCGTTGATTCCTACCCTTCCATCAGTGCACGCAGGCAATTCGAACGGCTGTGAAAACCGGACTGTTTTGTAAGTTTTGTGTGTCAGTGATCATTCTAATCTGTGTTAATCTCCACCTTGCCTAAACTCCCAGGGGTTAGCTTAGGGACTCTTGAGATAGTGCACAGAGAGGTCATGAAAGTGAGCTCAATCGCAGTCACAAATGCATCCATCTTTCATACCCCAGGTTCACGTTCGATAGTTCTACACGCACACACAATACAACTTCCGTTTTTGCCCGCAGTGTCATTTGGTTTGCCATTTTAAGTTATACATTGTCGATTCTTATCGTTATTTCGGATTCAGATTTCGATAGAATATTCCCACACATGTCTCGCTTTTTTATGCTGATTGTCAAACCCTTGATACAAAACATCGCCCGTCCGAATGTTGTTTTACGCCTCTTCATCGGCCTTGGTTAAACTCATTATGGGGTTTCAGGGCTTGACTCAGTCATGTAGGCAACTAATGTCGCTTCCGTGAGTCGGGTAGCTACAATCCATTGTTAGAAATACACACGTTGTCGATCCCTCTGCAATGGAAGCTGAAATTGACATCCACTATCCTCCGACCACCCGAGGACGTTCGACTAATTTCAGCTATTATTGGTGCCCCGTGATTTTAGCGGTGCACAGATATATGGTACACCCGGGAGCCATTCCTGTTCAAGTTCGTCGTAGAGAAAATTCTGGAGAACACACTTTTACCACCTTTTATCAGTATATTAATAATTTAACTGAGAGTATATTACTAACTTAGGGATAAGAAAGATCGGGATTAGACGAAGTCTTTTTTGTGACCTTTTTCCCATTTGGTTCTTTGGGAATATTACGCGGTAAGATAAATACGTTTAAACATGTCTTTTCTTGACATACTGATCTGCATAGAATCGTATCATGCAGATCCTTTGTGAACGGCAATAAACTAATCACAAGTTCTACCTACCAACTGTAGATAGGAAAGCCAAGGACTTTTTGCTTCTTGTTAGTAAAATAATGGAACGAAATGAAAATCCGTGCAGTGCTGGGCTATTTACCCCACTTATGATAGTCGAGTGTCATTTTGACCCTCGAAATTGTTTGTGAGCAGTGCTACAGCGAGGAACAGTAGAAGCGGTTAGCCATGTAGTCACTCACTCACTCACTGTTTCATTATTGGACCGAGTGACCCAAGCCTTGGGACTCGGAATGATGAACTACGCCAAGCCCGGATAGGATTAGTGTAGTGCGGAACCGGGTTTATTAAGTCTAGACATTCACAAAATAACTCACTTGTAAAACCCCACACTGTTGGCTTGTGGCACGGTGGCAAATTGAATAATCTTAGCAATATGTAGTATATAGAGAACAGTTTAGTCATTCAATAATGCGATGTAGATCAAGCCTTCAATTTTCCCAGTGTGATTGAAGAATATATATATATATATATATATATATATATATATATATATAAAGTGA